TAACCGCAGCCTAGGGAAACCAAGGGACCCATGCTTACAAAACTGTGCAAAACACCAACAGATCCTCAGTGGCATTCAGTCTGTAATCCTAGCAAGGCAATGAGATTTATGGAAGCTAAATCCTAAGATTTTTTTATTACACTGTGAAAGCATGTTTAATTTTAGTATTTGTCAACGTGTGTGAATTCAGCTTATCATTTGTTTATAGCACGGTTGATACAAATTTCAACCTGAATTTGTGTAGAATATACATAAAATATACATAATTAACAAGTCAGATACAGTTCTGATCTTCCAAAAGTTTACTTTGAGACCTACTTCACTCTTTCCCAGAACATTAAAAGAATTAAATCTTCATAGTCATACAAACTAAAAGTTGATGAAATTTCAAGCTCCAGACCTTCAAAATCCTGGTAGCATTTTACCTCCTACATATAGCACATGACAATTGTCTACATTCATTATGAATTCTTTCTGCACCTGAATTATCAGAATTATTACCTGAATTATTATTATTATTATTTTCTCTGAATTACCAGGGTCTGGACCCAGCTGTTAGCAGAGAGCAGATGTGATATACCTAAGGTAAACTGCAAGCTGACATTTCTTACTTTTTCAGTATCAGGTAAATTCTTCTGTGAAAGGATCACTTCAGCTAGCAAGTCCTTTCATCATGAAGTATTTATCTCACTGGTGAGAGTTTAAAATGGCAATCAAAATATAGTCAGAACTAGGAAATATTAGACTTTTCAATTTATCAAAAGACTGTTACTAATGCTTGCCTGTTCTTTAAAGAAAGATGTTTGTTTTATATAAAAATATACATCCCTGGTGATTTCAGACTTCAGAAAAATGATAAGGCTGCTATTTGCCCTTAAATTTGAAAGAAGTTATCCTAATTTCATAACTTATATTGTGGCTTTTAGTATTTGCTATATAGTAGTATTTACCTACCATATACCATTAACTAAGTTTTATGATACCTCTGTCAGGTAGATGTTTTAAAAAAGGAAAGAGAAGAAATATACAATGTTTGGGGAAAAAAACCTCTAATCCATAATCCTGTTGCGATTTCCTCACATCTTTCTGGGAAGAATCCTGCAGTGGAACCCCAGACTTCATGTTAAATTAGGGCAGAAAATAGTCTTTGCTCATAAAACATGCTTAGCATCCCACAAAACTCCAATAAAAGTGCTATTACATGGATTACCAATGTCTTAAACACTGAAAAGAAATATATATGAAAATACCCACCCTGTAAATAAGTTCAAGCATAAAAGCCAAGAGCAAATACTCAGGCTAATCTATAACATTTGATCAGTCTCAGATATTAAACTGCAAAATATATAACGCTGCAAGAAAGTTAAAACTTATTGGCAAATCAGCCCAGAATACAAGTAGGAAGAACGCAGCCCCAAGGGAGAGGCACATCTCATAAGGAAAATAACATGACAAAGTCCATAAAACAAGTTTAAATATATCTTAATGCCAAGCCACAGTGCAAAACCAATGCATTTATTTTCTATTAATGACAAGGTCAGATATAAATCTGTGGCTGAAATCTGCAGGTAACCTAACATTGTGCGGCAGCAACCATTCACCATATGGAGCAGCGTTGGTGCAGCGGGGCAGGAAGGGCACGAGAAGGGCAACTCTCCAGCTCACTCCGCTATCCCTCCCGGCAGATTTGTGTCCAGTTGAAATTTCATGCCAAAAGAGCTTTACAGCGATGCCCAGAGAGGAAGAACAAGATTAAAAAGGACGTAAAGAAGGGGGCAGGGAGCTATAGATGTTTTAAGAGAAAGCCAGCAAGGTATAGAGGTACAGGACGATAAAACCATTGTGCAAAAGAAAAGATGAGCTGTTCAAAAGGAAAGAATGGACTGGCAGTGACGAATGCTGAATATCATGAACAGATGAAGGCAAATGCAGGCAAAAGTGCAACTACTTTAGGATTTTATTTTTAGTCATATTGTTAAAGAAAAAAGGCTTTCAAAGCAGAGTACTTCATGGCTAGCATGTTCATCTGCCTTTAACCAGGACGTATAAAGACTATGTCACCAGCATAAAGGAAACTTTAAATGTCGCTGTAAAATCTTTACTGAAGAAGAGTTTAAATTGCAAGTTACAGATCCTGAACCAAGCTTCCCAAAGTTTGGAGCACCAGTATTTCCGAATGTTTATCATTAGAAGTGCTTTTAAGACCACTTAAGAGGAAAGGGTTCATTTTTTTCTATTATCAGTAATGCCAAGGATAGTAAGAATTAATTCATGCAAGTTGTAATGGATTCTCAAACCCAGAAACATCTCTCTCCCATCAGAAAAATTAATGAAATTTGACGTAATTCATGTAAACTCAGTCTACTGACATTTATAAACCAGTCACATCAAATTCCCCATTTCTAGCCATATTAGCTCTTACACATATATTCTTACTATCATGAAAGAACTGACTGATTAAAATTCAGAGATGGCAAGCAGAAAGCAAGGTTACTTATTGAAGCAGAAGGAGCAGACACTCCACCAAACTGCCTGGCCTTCTGCTGGGCAGAGATCTAAACCCAGTCCGGAGACACTGAGAAGAATCAGAGCGACTTTAAATTCTGGAAAGGTACATTTTCTACAGAGCATTTCTTTGCTTCTGTTGAAACATATGAAATATTAATGTCAATTCGTTACACATCAATGCATTTGTATATTCCCCTGCTATCAAGTGTCCAAATGACAACAGTCTGTTCTGAATAATTTACTCCTGAATCATCAGCCAGCTTTCTTCTACAAATCCAGATCTTCACTATTCACCAAATCACATCTATGAATGACAACCTTTTAGAAAAGATGTTCTCTCTGTTAAGTTTCAGAAGGGTACCAGCGTACAGGTATTTGATGTGCTACAAAACTTGGTATTTAGAACAGATATAAATGTGCTAACAATAAAGTAAAAATACATATAAAGGCTATAAAACATGATGGTTTTAAGTTTGTGGGCTGGATCCAGTGTGCAAGAACCACTCATTCAACCTCCAGCAGTAAAGTCTCTGCGACCATCTTTCCAGGAGGTCCATTTTTCCAGGAGGTCCCCAAACACACGTGGGAAGAGGCTGAGGGCTGGATGAACTCTTCCAGCAACCCATTTGCTGCTGTTTCGGTCCCGGGGTTCCCCCACCTCCCCTGCCTCAGCCCATCATGCGAGTATGCTGCAGACTGCCTCAGCCAGAAGCTTTGCAGCAGAAAATCTATTTAAATCAAAGCTAAAGACTACATGAAACCACAACGCCTTAAAATAAATCCCAATTTTGACTCAAGTGATGACAATCCTAATTACTCCATGATTATTTCTGTAAGTACAGTCCAATACCTTTATTTTCACTGACAGTCAGACTTGCCTGACTGCTGTCGCTCACTACTGCACTGTCCTCAGCAAAGGAGACAAAAGTTATGTCTAACCGTAGTTCAAAAAATACATTCACACAACCACTTCCCTTTGAAATATGAAGATGCATTGCTAAAATCATTCATTCTGGTTTTGTTGTGGGGCTCTTTGGTAAAGGAAATTACAGTGTCTCAGAAATGTCTATTCTCTCGCATGCCCTTTTCTCTCGCTGCACAGGGTGGAAGAAATATAAATGTACTTGTTGATTGATGTTACCGTAATAATCCATTATCGGGGGAAAAACAATTTCAGAACAAGAGTCACTAACTACATAATTCCCTTATGAAATACAACAGTCTGAGTTAAGGATTATTTTTTTTTAATGAACACGGGTATTTTTCCCATTTGCTAACTAATGTACTCACTGTAACCTTTTATTTTTAAAACCTTTTTCCATTTGTTACTAATGAAATATAATTATTTCCAATCTCAAGATCCTGAGCAGAAAACTCCACTTTTTTGAGGCTAGGAAAAAAAACTAAAACCACACACCATTATTGTATTGGTCACTGCAGAGATACACAAGTGGAAGGCGGAGGGTCAGCACTTGGGAAGGGTAACCTTTCAAAAACTAAGAGGAAAAGTGGACTAACAGAATAACTTCAACAATATATACTGTCTCAGTAGGATGCCAATTTACTTGTACTTTCATTTTGGCCTTGGTATAGCCACACAGTTTCAGTTAAACCATTCAGTCTGCATGGGTATACTCCAGGTATACCTAATCCAGGTACTCTTTTGCTATAAGCTACTAAAATATTATGAAATCCAAGGAAACTTCCTAACTATTAACATCAAAACCCCTAAATTAGCTCATGGTACAATTTGCAGTAGCTACTGCTAAGAAATTAGGTTTTAAGATTCACTAACACATGCAGAGGAAAAAGATACCAAATTGAAACACATTTTCTGTCAGAAAAAGACAGAAAAATTGAAGATGGGAAGTTGTGCCTTTAGTTGTACGTTCATATGAATTATAAAGATTAAAAAGAAATGCAGTGTTCAGCACTGATGGAGCTATATATCTCTTTCAGGCGGATAAGACCAGACTGCATAATGTGACTGGTAATAAAGATGTACTTGTAACATGAAAATAGGTGTTATGTAAAATAAAGAGGAGTCTTTCCCCTCATTTGTCTGAAAATGTAAGGGATGCTTGATCACCATAATTTGCAAACCTTATTTTTTTCAACTTCTACTTTGCAGATATTACCTAATTTTAGTATTTGACGGGGGGGGGAGACTAATCAATTTTGCAGTGCATGGAATACAAATATAATTGCTAGTACAGCTGATTTTATGTTGATTTCTACATCCTCAGATTTTCCAAGCTTAATGTAAAGAGAGCTGTCAATACATATATGAAGATACAAAGTAAGCAAAAATTGCATTCACCACCCAAAATATATCTTTGCATCCAAAGATACCACAAGTTCAAGTTCATTAAAGGCCCAGTGCTGAAATATACACTGACTTCATTTGGATGCAGTGAATTCAGCAATAGGTAAAATGTCTCAGCACATACGTAGCTAAATCAGGTTTATATATTTTGCAAAAGAAAGCTTACCTGCCCATTTTTTCCCAGTTCCATTTCAACGATTGCCACAGGAGTGTTTATCTGATCGATGTGTCTTGACTGTGACTTCAGATCCACTCGCCAGTTCATGTTTTTCAAGACATTATCCCAACGGCTTTGATTGATCAGGCTCTCATGGATCTTTATTCGGTGGTTCTTCCAAAATTTTGCAATGACTGCAGCTTGATCGGATGTGATGCCACCCTGTTTTTTGGTTTGGGCGGTGAGAAAAGCCTCCAGCTGATTCAAATCCATGTCCGCTGAAGCAATTGACTGTAGGGAAAATAAGAGGAGAAAAAGAGAAAAGCTTACTCAAAAATAACTCTTTAACAGTCTAAGCTGAACAGTCTACCAAAAGGTCGCATCTTTAGAGTTTTACAAATACCAGATTTTAAAGGGATAGTGCAAACAAAGCTGGGTTATGGAAATAACCTGACAACTTTCATTAAAACTCAATTTGCAAGTGCCTACCACTTATCCCAGATTCCTGCCCCCAGACAGCTGGAGGATAATGCATCAGTAACAGCGATGAGGAAATTGGGAGCGCCTTTGGGAATGCAGTACTGGTACAGCATAACAAGGGGACTTCTCACTGTCTGCCTGGCCCCTTCCCCCAGTATGCCCTAGGCATACCCAGTTGGTCACTGCTAGGAACACTGGGTCAGGGGCCTGGCACGATACTGCTGTCCTGATGGTCTATTAAACAGGAAAGCTGGGGCAAACACGGCATGCCCCCGGCCAAGGCTGAAACAAGTGAGGAGACATACCAGCTCGTTGCAACACCCACACCTTCATCTGCCACCTCCACACCGCGAACAAGGAAGCAAAACTGGTAAATACCGCACCAGTCAAGCAGGGTCTGCAGCACTGGCCACAGCGGTGTGCTGGCTGCAGCAGCAAGAGCACGGGTCTTCCAAGGGAGGGTCCGTGTGTGTGAGGCAATACTTAAAAATGCAACCGAAGCATCAGTGGACTCTGTCAAGCTAAATACTGTATTTGTGTTTTGCAAGGGAGTGTAAACGATCATTTACTCCTCCTCCCTGTGCAGCAACAGAAATTATTCTTCCCAAACCCCTTTTTAACAGATATCCAGTTTTTCCAACTATTTTTTCAAAGCTGATAATCCTACAGCCTTAAATTTGCATTGCCTAACTGGCAATGGTTGCTAAATACGGCTGTGAAGGGAGGGGAGGACCGGAGGTGAAGAGAGGAAACTGTGGCTAAGTTTCCCCATCGTAGTTTCAAGCTTTTGCTTCCTTCTCACCCAAAATGGATGCAGCTTACCCTAAGTGAACATGCCACCTCCAAGCATGAGCCAATGTGGAGCACAGCAAGGTGAAGTGTGGCCAACACTGCAATCCTTGGGATTTGCCTCGATTTAATTTTCCTTGACATGGTATTCCTAGTGCCATACTCCACGCGTTCAGGGAAATAACGATCTCGCTCTCATTAGCCAAGGGGGTGACACCGTGTGGCTTTTGGCCGGATGCACACTGTGTGCTTCACATTGCTTGTCTGCAAAATTGGGTATCGCTCATCTAAAAACCGATGGGTTAGCGCTCCATGAGCTTCCTGAGGATGTGAGACCTGCTGCTTCTCCCCACTTCATCAGCAATGAACTAAAATTGTCAGTGGGGTGAGCTACCGGCAGGCTTTGCCACCTTCCTCTTGACCAGGCAGATGTCAAAGTATGCAACCTTAGTCACACCAGGAGTGGCCTGAAATAAAACGGCAGGTAAAAAAAACCAAACAAACCACAAGAACTAGCCCAAAACAAAGAGCTCACATATCACACAAGCGACAGAGAACAGTGGCAGATTTGCTGCTCTGAAGGGAGTAAAGCCAACATCGTGATGTGCTCAACCTTCAGCAGATAGACCACCGCATCCTCCTTACCCTGAGTCTTTCCCAGAGAAAAGCAAACCAGAAACAACCCCCCCAAAAAACCCCAACAACTTCTGATCTACAACAGTTACACTGCCTTTTATCATCCAGTGTATAAGATCTTTCTCCTGAAGCTTTTATAGTTTTTTCTTTTGTTTTTTAAGAGGTATGCATTGCCTTCCCTCGCTCTCGCAATGGATTAGCTGCCATCTGTTACGTGATCGAGAAAAGAAATGGCAATCCACACCAGAAGTAACTGCTCAGCTGTATCAGGGTTCCAGCTTAATAGGAGCATCTGCCAATTTATTATAAAATTTGAGATGCCTGGTGCACTGTTCTGTCTTTTCTATAGGGCATTCACCATATCTGTATATATATTGTTTGCTTTTATCATGAAGATATTTAACTTAAGAGGTAATTATCCTGTAGTATCTAATTATGCTGTAAGTGAAAAAAGCACTTCTTTTCATTTTCAAAAGAAAAACTACTTAGACTTACAGTCCTTTCCTACATCCACACCTTACATGAACAGGTCTATTAACAGCAGTGTGGAGTATTTTCTGTTTTAATATTTTTCATATCACTACATCTGTGTGTGGATCTGTTTGCGTGTTCTGTGACACCAGCTACCACTTATGTACACCTTTTGTGTTGGTTTATGTGAAGGGGGGGAGGAATAGAGGTGAATCCACAACCCCAGACCCCAGCACCTTATGTAAGCCCTGTCAAGACCAAGATCAAGTTGAGATGCAGACTTTCTTCTCAGTTCAGCTGTGCAGAAAATTGCCTTCTGTTTTATTCCTGTGCAGGAACCAAGAACACAAACTGCATCCTCTGCACTGAATGAAGCAAACGCGTCATGGAGAAACATCTAATCTGCATGAAATGTGAACCTAAACCAGATTCACTGGATCAAATAACCAGGTAACCCTTTTCTCAGCTTGATTTTACAACCCTCAAATATTTCACATTTGTAATTCTTAGGGGTTTCTTTTAACCTCACCCCCTTCACAACAACTCTTTTTGCAAGATGCAGCAAGATTTCTGGTGGTGCTTTGCTAGGCTGATAAAACACACACACACAAAAGTTCCTTATTGTGCTTGACGCATGATAAAAATCTGACTTCTAAGTATATCCGAAAGAGGAAGCTTATGACCAAGCTTGCAGTTTTAAGCCTAAGGATGACAAAACAATATTACTAGGGCTTATACAGGACAGCTAAACTTGCCTGTTTGGTAAAGATCATCAACATATCGACGATTAGTTAAGATCCAGTGTAAGCTACATTAAAAACATTCATGTACTATAAGCACCCTGATATAGTTTGCTACCAAAATACTATCACATAAAACAGAGGAAGGAAACCATGTATCATCATTAGCAATCACTTCTCTCTCTCTCACACAGACACGTGTGCACATGTACACACAATATGGATCGCTTAATACTCTATGTGTACACAGCTAAGAAACCAGAAGATAACAACCATACTGTATTTTGGTGGAATATTTATCAGAAAATGCATGCTCTAAATAACAAACCAATATAGTCCATCATTCAGACTAGAATCTCTCTCAGCTTGGAAATAGGACATTTACTACTTAAAAATTCTTATTTAAAAAAATGAATATAAATTTTAATTGGAAGCAGGTACAAGCAATCAATGAGTTACACCTCAGTATAGTTGCACGAAGATATTAACGAAGACATATTTTCTTTGAAATTCCTCAACAAAACCCACCAGCTATAAAGGTTTTCAAGTCACAGAAGAACAGCAACTCATTTTAATATTCTTTTTCATCTTAAACTTGGAAACATTGCATTGTGGACAGAAAACCTGATATAAGTTACATAGAATGAGAGAACAATTAAGGTCTGTGCTGCTCTTCCATCTCCTTTATTGTACGAACACTTTAAAACTCATTCTTTAAATAAGCGTAGTTCTACTCCATTGCTCATATGAATGACCACAGTTAAAATTCGGACTTTTTTTTTTAAGCTTGAGGAAATGTTTTAGTTTAACTTGGCAAAAAAATGTATTTCCAGTCATATTCTGCACAGCATTACAAACAGTTCTTTCCATCACTTTTAACAATGCTCATTTATTACACAGAATACCAAATTACAGTGAATACACCTTATTGATATTTCTAAGGATTAATTTAAAGTTAAAACATGAGTGGTTCTTCTGTGCTTATAACTAAAGGCAGATAAAATACATCTGATTATAGGTCTCCCTCTCATGCTTTTAAACCTTAGGAGTTTTGGATGATCATTTACCACCACCAGGACAATGACCAGCTGTTGTCCAGCTCCCACAGAAGCGATGGTTTCACTGCCAGAATAAACAGCACATGCACATTTTAGCATCATTACTGGAAACTTCTCAGGACTGAAAGGTGTTGACACCTATATTATCCAACAGCTCCTGCAGCTGAATCACTGTCAGCATTGGCTCGAGACAGATACAACTTATATTAATATAAGCCAATTACTTAGTCCAGACAGACCTTAAAGTGCAGGATCTACTGCTGTAGCTTGAGTCACTGTACTGTCAGTGACACACATCATTATATTATATAGACTTTATATTCTGAGCTAAGTGTGTGTACATGGAGATCCTGCCTTAGTTGTTTCACACCTCGTCTCTTCAGCAGTCCTCAATAAGCATAGTTTTGCAATATATTATCACAGTTATATATCTTGATATATTATCAAAGTTATGTAGGACCTAATTCCAGTTTTTATTGGCAATCACAAATGATTTACTATTTCAACATAGAAATCTTCTACTAACAAAAAGCAGAAAAGTTTTCTAATAATGTATAAAATCATAGCTGCTCTATGCCAGTGAGTAATTTCATTTACATTACTATGACTATTCACTTAAATGACTAAGTAAAAAAAGCCTATTTTCGAAACTAGAGTCTGTATGAGAGCACCATTAGATAGTAAAAATTTCCTCACATTATGTATTTTGAGATTTGTTAAAACATGGTTTTTTTCCCTCCTAGGAAGCACAGCTTATGGACAGCACATCATACTATGAGCACGCAAATCCCATCCTCGGCAACTGGCTACACCTTTCTTTCCCTAGGCTGGGCAAGTGCTTTTAAACAACAAGAAACAGTTTTGGTCATACTGACTTCTCCTTGTATTCACATTCAACACATACCCACTATGTCTTCAAATATAATTCAGCCAATAAAAATATGACTTCAAATACTATTTCTTTAATGAAACAATATTTGATAATCTGGAGAGTTTTGTATTGGCTTAATTAGATCCATTAGATACATGCCTTGGTACAAAGAACAGGAAAACAGACTTAAATTCATTATCTCTTCTGAGAAATAAAGCCTGACAAGCATGCAATACTAGTGAGAAACAACAATTGGTAAAACCCACTGGGAAAAGAGAACACACTTCATTTCCAGAAATAAAACATTATTTGTCAACCATTATGGAAGAGCTCCAAGAGTTAGCCATGCCAGCATGTGTAGGCATTTTCTCCAGCTGACCCTCAAAATTGCAGGCTGCTGCCAGCCTGAAGCACAAAGAAATCACAAGGTCAGAGAAACAAATAATTCAGTGCCGTGTACCATACTAATGAACTTGCCTCCTAAGGTTTTTGGTAGGTGGGGGTGAGAGGCTATTCCTGTATCACAGCCCTTGTAATTCAGATGCTTTTAGAAATATAACCTTGAAAACCATTTCTCAGACCCTTGGAGCACATGCACAGAGAGGAGGGACCAGCTGCAGACAGGAGGAACGTGCCAAGGGACCCCACTCGGCCAAAACACTTTGATCACACAAAGCCAATTGCTGTTAACATCAGGATACTATGCATTCTTTCACTTATCATCCTTAGAAGAAAACCTTTACTGGATTTGGGGCAAATAGGGGGTGCCTGCTGCATGCAGCTTTGGGGTGTGTAGCTTCTTTCTCCTTATCTAAAAAGAAAGGCAACCCTGGGAGAGCAGAGGAGGAACAGAAGCAGCTCTCATCACACGCGGGTCCTAGTGACACTAAGCTATTTGTCAAAGTTAGCTCAGCATGTTCTTCTGCAAATAGTAGCTTCAGACAGGAGGAATATGAGAACATCTCTGCAATCCTGCGGTTTCTGGGTCCTCCTTTGTAAGTATGTACTAACCAGACTTTCTCCCAAGGGCTGCTGAGATACCCAGTCCTGTAATAAATGAGCTGTTCCCATAGATGTTCCTGGATATTAGTCCAGTAGACTTTCCCACGTTTCTGGAGACAGTGGAGGTTTTCAACTAGTTGGTAGGTTGTGCCTCACAAACACTGTTTATTAGAGTCCAAGAGCTCTCCTGAGAACCGGAATTAAGATAAACTTAGATGCAACAGCCTGCTTGTCTGCACTTGAAAATGGTGATCCACCTTTTGGAAAAAACCCCAAAGCTAAAGGCCTCTACACCACCACCACCCCCCGCCCCGATTTGTAAGTCAGAAATCACAAGTGACCTTAACAATAGATTTAGTATTTCTACATCAAAGTAGAAAGATTTTAACTAATCTTTAAGTCTTCATCTAATCCATGGGAGATCACACAAATTTCTTTTATTCAAGTTCCATATGTCCCAATATTATTTTAGTTTGCTTCTTATTGAGCTGTAATACAGTTAAAAGTGAAATGAAAATGTTTGCTAAGAGAAAAGAGCTAACTGTGAATCATTAAGAGGATAATATATATAGTTTAAAAGCCTGTAGTTTAATTTTTTTCCTACTGTGTAATAGATCTTCTGCAACACCTGTTTCTTATTCCAACCTGTAGAGCCTTTTGATTCATTGCGGAGGAGACACTAACCAGGTCAATGGACATTCAGTAGACTTGTAAATATTTTTAAGTTTGAGTTATTCTGACTTTCATCAAGCTTTCTTCTTGGACAGAAGGACTCGCAACACACAGCAACAAAAAAAAAAAATTACTTAACTGCTATTGCAGATGGGAAAAATGTGTGTGCATGATAAGTTCTGGCCAAAACTACATCCTTCCTGCATTTCTAATCTTATTAAGCTTGATTCGACCCAGACTTGTCAAGTGTGCACATGGAAGAGAAAACTCTTCTCAATGGGTCGCTTCCATGCTTCTTGACCGACTCCTCTGTTTTCTCCCCCAAGATTCCCAGGTTCCCACCAAGCAGAAACCCCCCCAAACCCTTAACTGATTTTTTTTGCATACAAGCTCACCAAACCCAATGTTCTCTGCTAAAATTACTTTTTCATTTGAACATGAAGTTCAATAACAGGGGAGTAGATATACAGCTATTTTTGGCCTAGCTTACAACTGAACGCAAAAGAGATCTCAGCGTTAGTTTTTAAAAGCATCTGAAGTGACCACAACATTTTTCCTCCAGCCTGCCTCTGCCATTAGTCTGTGTGTTTGCTAGAAATGACCAGTTTGAACTCATAATTCCATAAAACACTTCCTAAATTTATTTGCAGGAGGTGTCATTTTTCTGCAGTATGAAGACTCATTTGATGACAAAGGAGGATAAAAGGTTGATTAAAATAGACAGCCACCAGATGAACTGCAACCTGAGCCATGCTCCTGTGGTCAGATCGTGCTTCCTGCAAACCTGCTGTGCTGAGCTCAAAAAAGTGGCTCTCCCACCCCAGTCCCATCCTAGAAAAACACCTTTAGCTGAAGGAAAATTGAAAATCATCAGGATTACTCTGTCTGGACCTACTTACAGGCTCTATCTAGGCTTTATACCACTTACAGAACAAGAATAAATAAAAAAAACAGAACAAGCCCACCCACTAGTAACGTTAGTCATAGCTACATCTCCAAATGATGCCTGCATACTCAGATTACGAATAGATACTAAAAGCTTGGATTTTAAGCAATAAACATAAAAAAAGAAGCACCACCCCCTTCCTGAATAATAGTTTCCAAACTACTTAAATTATTTAAAATAGAAAGAGGAAGAGATGTACAAGAAAAAAAGGCAATGGAAAACGCTTCTCAGAGAGCACAGATAGGTGTTGCGACAGGCTAGAGGGAGATAAAACAGGGAACCAAAAAAGTAAGGAAATGTTCTATTAATAGCAGATATACTTGCAACTACAAGGGTCAAATAGGAGGATTAAAATTTTAAATATATTAAAATTAAAAATATAAATTGTCCATCCTGGCCTGTAGTCAACTGAATTACAGCAAAAAAAATCCCAAGCTTTGCTATCAGTTTTCTCCCCACTTGAGTCAAATTCTTTGCTATCGTTTAGAAAGCAGTTTGCCACTTGGGGTGGAGGCAAATAAATGTCACATTTCCAGTAGTTCTTAACATGCAGTCGTGTTACAAACAAGTTTGAGAGGTTCAACCTTTTTCAAAATGAATGTGCATACACACATGCTCCCTGAACTATGCTTCAGTAGAAGCAAGTTGTTTTCTGGAGAATGTCTAAATCTTCGCAGGTTATGTTTTTCAGTCTAAAATGGTTTCTTCTTCAGTCCTCCTGAAGGAGCTGGATTCAGAAATAAGAACTCTTGACAGATGGAAGCCATTTAATACAGTATTGCTAAAGATGGAGAGGAAAATAAAAGGCAGAGAGAAATCCAGATAGGGTAGAATAAATACCAGATGGTAAATACAAAAAACTTCAAGGGAGGGAGTAAAAGCAGGAAAAGAGAGACAGACAAACACAGTGACAGTCCCGGGATTGGTGACATGACCTGTCGTTCCCTTAAAAGACCACGTGGTCGGTGTTTTTTCTGCTCCTCCATTCTCTTACAATAAAATAAACGAGAACTGGGTTTATCAGGTTTCTACAATCATTCTGGGAAAATTACTTGCTGCCACAGACTACTGCTTCACGTTTAATCTTGTTTCACTTAGTAGAGTTAAAAATAGAAGTTGGAGCAGCTCGTGTTTTGAAGGCACATGGAAAAAAAAAAGTTGTAGCCCTACCCTGCGTGCAGTAATGGTACAGACATTAGCCGAGCTTATTATAGCTCTCTGCAGGCAGCGATCCTGTCAGTGAAATCAGGCAAAGCGCAAACTTGCTTTATTATGAACCAAGCAGAGAAAACAGAATTAGCATCATGAATTAATTTTCACTTTTATTCAGTGTACCTTGATTATTTGCATCTTAAAAGTTAATTATTAACTCAGCTAAATTCCCCCTTGGTTTACATTTGGACATCAGCATAGAATCATAGAATCATTGAGGTTGGAAAAGACCTCTAAGAATCTACACGTCTTCTAAATACTTCCAGGGATGGGGACTCCACCACTTCCCTGGGCAGCCTGTTCCAATGTTTCACCACTCTTTCAGTAAAGAAATTTTTCCTCATGTCCAGTCTAAACCTCCCCTGGTGCAACTTGAGGCCATTTCCTCTCATCCTATCGCTTGTTACTTGGGAGAAGAGACTGACACCCACCTCGCTACAACCTCCTTTCAGGTAGTTGTAGAGAGCAATGAGGTCTCCCCCCCGCCTCCTTTTCTCCAGGCTAAACAACCCCAGTTCCCTCAGCCGCTCCTCATAAGACTTGTTCTCCAGATGCTCCAGCAGTGAACAACATGAAATACATGAGTCACACCCCTCAACTGTACGATGTCTTGCCATATACTCTGATTCAGAGCCAAACTCTGACTCCATGCTCTGCTTTCCTTCCTTTCACAGCACCATTGTAAATTATCTGTACTATTCTGGGCAATAGCTAGAGTTACGTTTTCCTACCTGGATGGAGAAGGATTCCTGTACTCCTAAACCAAGCTCACACCACAGCCCATCACTGCCTTGGCCCATAACCCTGCAGACACATTTCACAGCAGCAAAGAGATCGGCAAGTAAAGGAGACAAGTATACAGACTACACTGTTTCAAGGGAAGCAAGCAAGAGTGCTTTACCATCTGGTCATTCATCACCTATTTTGACAATTCATGTTACCCGTTGACAGGTTTAACAGGTAAGAGGTAAGCTTCAAGTCTCAGGATACCAGCCAGCAGGTCTTCCTTTTAGCATGGATAAAATGGTTTTCCCTCCTGTCGGCTCAGTGAAATATAAAACACATTCCCTAAGCCAGTAGCAGCCACGGTGGTTATTAACAGCTGAGGCTTTATGAGGAGAAAGGAGCAGCAAGTCAAACTCTTCACTGTAGGAATCACAACTGCTCTGTGAAAGTCCCCACTCACACCCTGGTGCTTGGAAAACAACACTTGATCGGGAACAAAGCCCAAGCTGAGGAGCTCAGAAGAGACCATCCCTCACTTTCCCATAAAGATTTAAGTACCATTTGCTGTATCAAAAATGCTCTTAGAACTACATGTAATAAGTGTTTTTGGGAAAAAAAGGCTAAAGACTTAATGAAACAGCCAAAATACCAATCTGAAAGTATTCTCCAATAGAATCACATTAAATATTAACGACTGCTTTAGTTACCCCAGAGGGAGTTCTCTATTTCTATCAGGTTAGGCTCCTGACCAAGACATCTATCGGTAGAGCTGGCCAAGTAATCAGGTTTTCCAGCAAGTTTGTAGGAACAAACCTCTGTGCCTCCACAGACAAGGTGCACTGCTCTCAAGAGCTGCACATGCACGACAGTGGTTTGCAGAGCTTGCAGACACACGTTATGGAAATCACACACGCCAGCCACTATAACAGGGTTCGACTCTAGGTTTCCGCTGAATCAATAAGCCAAAAAGAGATTCTTCTATGAAGTCCTTTTTATTAATAGTGCTACAGCTTGAGCTGGGTGCCTCTGAAGAGGGACCTCGAACAAAGAAATCCCTGGGCAATTACACCCTTACTATCTAAATTTCCCACCCCTCATGCGACAGTTCGGACCAGTAGTAATATTAGGGTCTGGGGTCTTCCCATTCTTCATTGGGTCCTTCCATTGTCTCTAGGTGGGCCGTTTCTTAACTCTAAGGTTGCAGCTTCTGTTAATGAATGTAGCTTCCTTATCTTCTGGCTTGAACCAGCGCTGGGGCCTTCTTTTACTTGACTAGGTAAGAGTTCAACATACCTAGGTGAAAATTCACAGCTTGCGGCCTAAGGCTTCAAGCAAATTTAGCTACTAATGCTAAGCAAGTTATGCTAAGCAAATTCTATATAAGTAGTATAACAAATCACACAACACACACCACCAGTGAAAACTGTTTGGTACCGAACAAAATCTGGCGTTAGATTTCACTGTCGCAGCCCAAACAGCTAAAAACTTCAGCACTCAAATGCTCCAAGACAGTGCAGCCCATGCCATCAAAAAGAATTCAATTAATTTTTCCCATGGCTTTTCTTTGGCTTTTAGTCAAATTGGGGGCTACTCATATTCAATGAACTCCCTACCATTTGTTCACACAAACT